ATCCTATATAATAAAGAGCTAATATACTAATTAGACCGAACAGCTGAACAACCTTCTGAAGGTCTTTCCGGACGACCTTCCAGACAAAGCCGGGGCTGCGAGGGCCAGCCAGGTCTGCACCGGGGCTGCTAGGGCTGAGTCCCTTACATGAATTTTGTGCATCGGGCCTCTAGTGTGCGTGCGTGTGCATGCGTGTGTGTATGCTAATAAAAGAGAAAGATGCAAATTGACCATACCTTTTGTGACACCCCACAGCCAATCAGGAGTGAGTATGCAAATTAACCCGACAAAGATGGCGGGTTAATTTGCATGTGCAGGCACTGAGTGGCTTGGGTCCCAGGGACAGGCATCCTCGGGAGCTAGGCTGCTCTGAGTCTGTAGGCCTGCGCGTAGGCCCGGAGCAACTGGGGTCCCGGAACGCCCCCGGCCACTCTGGGCCTACGCGAGCAGGCACGGAGCAGCCAGGGGCAGGGCGGAACATCCCCGGGACCCAGGTCCTCTGAGCCGGCGTAAGCGCAAGCGGCTGGGGGCGGGGTGGGAACGTCCCCTGCAGCGAACGAGCAGACAGCAGTCCCCCGCAGCGAGCGAGCAGACAGCAGGGCCCTGCTTGCCCCTGGCCATGGCAGCGAGGGGCAAGCAGTCCTCCTCAGGGCCCCCACAGAGCGCAGACAGCAGGGCCCTGCTTGCCCCTGGCCATGGCAGCGAGGGGCAAGCAGTCCTCCTCAGGGCCCCCACAGAGCGCAGACAGCAGGGCCCTGCTTGCCCCTGGCCCCGGTGGCGAAGGGCAAGCAGGCCCCCACAGAGAGCAGACACCAGGACCTGCGGTGGCATCAAGCAAGCAGGTCCTCTGAGAGCAGAAAACCACAGGGAGCAGGCCTAAGCCATCAGTAGGACATCCCCTGAGGGCTCCCAGATTGGAGAGAGTGCAGGTCGGGCTGAGGGACCTCCCCCCACTCCCCCCCCCCCATGCACGAATTTTGTGCACTGGGCCCCTAGTATATATATATAATCACTCTGGCACCATTTGCTAATTCAGCAATCCTAAGTGTCTCCTGAAGTAAGCTCCTGCTAGACACAAAGGATCCTGACATCTTGTTGATGTCCTGGCAGAGCTCATGGACAGGCAAGTCGTCAAAATTGAAGAACTAAATACATAACCTGGGCATCATCCATAATCCTTTCTTCTCTTTAGTACTATTGCCCCCAATCTAGTCCACTAAGCCATTCTTGACTCAACTCCCCGAACACATTCCCATCCTGTAACAATCACAACCAAACCCCTAAAGCATTGACAATCATATATAATAAAAACCTAATATGCTAAGTGTCCAGTTGTCTGTTCAACCAATCAAAGCGTAATATGCTAACAATATGCTAAGGTCACTCAACTGCTCACCATGACGTGCACTGACCACCAGGGGACAGACGCTCTGATTGGTAGGTTAGCTTGCTGCTGGGGACTGAGCGAGATGGGCGGGACACGCCCTGGAGCCCTCCTGTGGTCCCTCCGCGGCTGGCCAACCTCCCACATCCCTCCCTGGCCCCGATCGTGCACTGGTAGGGATCCTCAGCCTGGCCTGTGCCCTCTCACAATCCAGCACCCCTTGGGGGATGTCAGAGAACCGGTTTCGGCCCAATGGCAGAACGATCGATCACTATGATGTGCACTGACCACCAGGGGGCAGACACTCAACGCAGGAGCTGCCCCCTGGTGGTCAGTGCACTCCCACAGGGAGCACCGCTCAGCCAGAAGCGCGCCGCTCAGCCAGAAGCTGGGCTCCTGGCTGGCGAGTGCAGCGGCAGTGGGGGGAGCCTCTCCCACCTCCGTGGCAGTCAGACATCCCCTGAGGGCGCAGGCCGGGCTGAGGGACCCCACCCCCACCCCCAGTGCACAAATTTCATGCACCGGGCCTCTAGTTTTGTTATAAATGCAAATGGAGAAATCCTAACTAAAGTAGTAGCAATAAGAAAAAACAAAACACCATGTTCTCAGTCTGACCATTTCTGTCACAGTTTAGTCCAGGCTGCCATCATTTCTTAATGAAATGCTGTTATAGCTACTTGCTGGCCTCCCTGCTTCCACTCTTGCCTCCCTTACAGCAGCAACAATAATGAATTACTTAGCACTAACTGTATGCCAGACACTGTTCTAAATGTTTCACATATAACCATGAGGAGAATATGGCAACTGTACCTAGAAGCCAAGTGACTGTATAAAAATCAGTTTATGTCTGTTGTTTTAAGTCCCACCAATGGCTGCCAGGCTGTTCCTCTCACAGACTAGTCCATTTCCACCTCAAGGCCCACCCCTGAGTCAGTCTTGCAGAAGCCATGTAGCTAAGAGTTGGGTGAGGAGCAGTTTTGTTTTTTTAATATATTTTTTATTGACTTCAGAGAGGAAGGGAGAGGGAGAGAATTATTGATTGGCTGCCTCCTGCATGCCCCCAGTGGGTATCGAGCCCACAACCCAGGCATGTCATGTGCCCTGAAATTGAACAGTGACCTCCTGGTTCATAGGTCGATGCTCAACCACTGAGCCACACAGGCCAGGCCAGAGGTTTATTTCTTGCTCACACTATGTTTTTTACAGGTCATTTGTGGCCCTACTCTACACTTTCTTTTTAATATTAACTAGTGGCCCGGTGCACGAAATTCATGCACTGGGGGGGGGGTGTCCCCCAGCCTGGCCTGTGCCTTGTCACAGTACGGAAGCTCCACGATCCATTGCCCCAAAGGGGTAGACCCCGTCCACCCATCCAGGGCTCCTTGATGGATTGCCCCATAGAGGTAGGCCAGAGACAGAAGGCCTTTGGGCCCGAGGCCGGGCCGCAGCAGAGGCCCCCCCCTGTGGCCCCGCCCCCAGGCTAGACCACAGCAGAGGCCTGTGGACCTCCGCGTGCCTGTGGACCCCTTGTCGGGCCTGCGGCGAAGGAGCCTCTCTGCACGCCTGCAGACCCCTGGTGCAGACATGCTGAGAGGCCTCTCTACTGCGGCCCCGCCCCATCCCCCACGCTGCAAGTCCCTGCCCACCCGCGGCTGCTGCGTACGCAGCCTGCTGATCTATCATTACTGTGAAAGCGTCCCAACCAATTTGCATGTTACCCTATTATTAGTATAGACTAGAGGCCTGGTGCACAAAGATGTGTGCACTCAGGGGGGTCCCTCAGTCTGGCCTGTGCCCTCTCGCAGTCTGGGACCCCTCAGGGGATGACCACCTGCTGGCTTAGGCCCACGCCCCGGGAGATTGGGCCTAAACTGGCAGTCAGACATCCCTCTGGCAGCCCGGGAGCCCTCGGGGGATGTCCACTTGCCAGCGGGGAGCAGGCCTAAGCTGCAGTCGGACATCCTTAGCACTGCTGAGGAAGCGGGAGAGGCTCCCACCACCACCGCTGTGCTGGCAGCCATCAGCCTGGCTTGTGGCTGAGCAGAGCTCCCCCTGTGGGAGCTCACTGACCACCAGGGGGCAGCTTCTGCATTGAGTGTCTGCCCCCTGGTGGTCAGTGTGTGTCATAGTGACCAGTCATTCCCAGTCGTTCTGCTGTTAGGATCAATTTGCATATTACCCTTTTATTATATAGGAGTGCCTGGCCAGCCTGGGTGAGGGGCTGATGGCTGTTTGCAGGCTGGCCAAGCCCCCCAGCAGGGACCTTTACCCCATGAGGGTGTTGCCCGCCTGGGTGAGTGGCTGATGGCTGTTTGCAGGCTGGCCACAGCCCCTTCAGTGTAGGGGTCCCCACTGGGGTGCCTGGCCATCCTGGGTGAAGGGCTGAGGGCCGTTTTCAGGCTGCTTAAGCCCCCCAGCGGGGACCCTCACCCCATGAGGGTGTGGCCAGCCTGGGTGAAGGGCTGATGGCTGTTTGCAGGTTGGCCAATCCCCCCAGCGGGGACCCTCACCCCATGAGGGTGTGGCCATCCCAGGTGAGGGGCTGATGGCTGTTTGCAGGCTGGCCACGGCCCCCAGCCACCCAAGCTCCCAGAGGAGGCTGGCTGGAAGCAGGTATCTGGGGTTTGTCTTCTATAATTGAAACTTTGTTGCCATGAGCGGAGGCCGCAGCCGGCTCAGGGCTGGCGGGAAGCTTGGCTTCCTCCATCACCCAGGCAACCAAGCCTCCTGCTTGCTCCAGCTCTGTGGCTGCCGGCCGCCATCTTGGTTGGGTTAATTTGCATATAGTTGCTCTGATTGGCTGGCAGGTGTGGCTTGGGGCATAGTGAAGGTATGGTCAATTAGCATCTTTGTCTTTTATTAGTGTAGATTTTTAGAGAGTAGAAGCTCCGAAGAGGGAGAGGGAGAGAGAAATATCAGTGTGAGAGTAAAACATCAATTAGCTGCCTCCTGTACCACAGATTGAACCTGCAACCTGGGCCTGTGTCCTGACCAGGAATCACCAGCAACCTTTCCATGCACAGGACTATGCCCAACCAACTGAACTATACCAGCCAAGGCCCTACTCCAAACTATCTTAACTGGGGACTCAAGATAAAGGTTTTACAGGACAGAAGAGGGCCTGGTCTTCCCTGGTTGCTAGTGGAAATGGTGTTATTGGCGTACTGCTGGAATAAGTATTTCTAGAGGCCCCCATAGGAGGATGAAATATGGTAGAAAGTTTAT